TTCAGGGTCAACCCTAAACCCTAAGCCCAAGAGTTTAGAGTACAGTGTGTTAGGGCCCTGATGGCTAGAGGCATGGATTGTAGGAGCCGCGCATCCCTGAAGCTTCTGGAGCCTCCGCTATCATGGTTTAACGTAGCAACCCAAAATCTTTGACCTCTGACCTCTCTGAATCCAAAACCCTAAGCCCTAATGCGCTCCTAGCATCCGTATGGCAAGTGCGCACATGAAGGGGTCATACCTCTTAGGTCCGTGAAGTGTTTTTTTGGGATATGTTGGGTAGGACAGAGGGCATGGGGCTTGCGTTCTTTGAGGCCTTGTGTTTTTCAAGATGGGTGCGTCTCAGAGACTTGTAAGGAGAAGCCAGCAGTCCCAAAGAAGCAAGCCCTGAGCCCTGAACCCCAGCATTTCGGTGGGAGTATGTGCAGGTGCAACAAGCCGACCCTAAGTATCCCGCAACCCCCTCTAGAACCTGTCTAGCTACCCCAGTAGTACTCTTTTTCCCTGTGATTTTGGGGTCTCCTTATTCAAGCTGAACACTAGAAAAGCGGGTACCGTTATTAGCAAGAGATTGCTCGGGAACCCAGCTGTTTAAGAGGTTTAGGGTTTAGGATTTACGGTTTAGGGTTTATGTTTAGCATTTAGTTTTTAGGGTCTAGGGTTCCTAAAACCTAAATCCTAAACTCTAAACCCATAGGCCTAAACCCTACCCCCTTATCAATGGCGGGCACTCTCGTAGGTTGGCTCCGTGAGCGTCGACCTGCTTTGCGAAGTAAAAACCTCCGATGTAACTGGAGATGAGACCATAGGCCGGCTTGGGGTTTTCAGTTTAGGATTTGGGGTTTGGGGTTTGGGGTTTCGGGTTAGGGGTTTAGGGGTTTAGGGTTTAAGGGTTTAGGGTTTAGGAGTGTAGGGGTTGAGGGTTTAGGTTTTAGGGCTTTTTCTACGGGAATGGAAAGAAAATGGAACTGATGTGTTATGTAGGGTTCTTCCGGCTCATGGGTGCGCTGTAGGGCAAGGAGCAGGGATTGGGCAACAGGGTTCGGGGTCGGGGTTTAGGGTTTAGTAGGGACTGGAAAAGAACATGGAAACTGCCATATTACTCAGGTTTCTTAGTTGGAAATGGAAAGAACATTCAAACAGATGCGTTTTAAAGCTTTGAATCAAGGTTGGAAATTTGGGCCCCTAACATTCGCCCCCTAGCCCATGTACTGTGATTCTAGGGACCCTAATTAAGGGCACATGTATGGTAACTGGCAGGATCCCTGGGTAATGTACTCATACTAGGTGTCCACTGGCCCATGGTTTTGTTCTTAGAGCGCAGGGTATATCAGATTTAGGGTTTAGGTTTTAGGGATGGGCTAAGGAAAGCGGAGAACCAAATGGAAAAGAGCATGGACAATGAAGCGGAAGCTTTGCTTTTACAAAGGATGGGACAGAACATGGCATGACTCTATTAAACCCTCAACCCGATCCCTTAGTCTTAACCCTTAACCCTTAGCCCTAACTCTTAACCCTAAACCTTAGACTTACTTTGTACGGGCTTAGGACTTAATGCTTGTTGTCTAGGGTTTCTAGGTCATACCGAGCGGAAACAACATGGAGACTGACATATGAGGGATGATAAAAAACCCCGCAATCAGGTTTTAAAGGGAGCCCGTCCTTAAATGCAAAACCTTGTAAAACGATAAGAGTAAAAAAAAACGATAACGGCGATGTCCATCATGGTTTGGTTCACGTTGGTCCTGTGCATCCATGCCTATGCTGTACACGCAGCATTTGGCTTGCGATTTCTGTCTTTCACAATGGCCGCGCCAGCGAACCCACCGCTAGCCTGCAGGGTAGGGATTTGCCATGGAACCATGTGCAGCCCCACCTTCAATGTTCGATGGCAAAAGTGGGTCACCTCCTGTGAACCTAGACTTGAAAAAGCGTACTTGTCAAGTGATTTCGCTCCGAGCCGAAAGGCTTTTTCAAATGCAATCGTAGAATAAGGACAACCATGGAATGACGACAAAAGGGGTGGTTCGGCCGTCGCATCATGTGGCCGTGTAGTCGCTTGCCTGGAGAATTGGAGATGTGACGCAGCGCATCGTGCTCCCTGAATCACGAGTGGCGAGGACATGTAAACTTTGATCAACTAAGTGATGAATCCTTATCGGCGTGGACATTCACAAGTTGCCTCTCCAAACACTGCAAGGCGTTGACAAAGAAGGAGGGGCATTCTGAGGGCTGTTGAAGCCGGAGGGTTGGGTTGGGGTTGAGGGCTTGGGGTTTAAAGTTTTTGCCTGGGCCAGGCAGCTAGAACCCTATAGAAGTAAAGTTCAACCCTGAAACTCTTAACCTTAAACCCTAAGAGAACCCAGCCCAAACTTGTGACACCTTGTCACAACTAAGGTGCTGCAACCTTTGGGGGTGGGCGGAGAAACCCCTTGGCGTGGAGACGGCTTTCGAGGGTAAGGGTGGGTTGTAAGGGGGATAGCTGGGGTTACCACATGGTTTATGGGCTTTATAAGTACCTACTAAGTCCCCTTAGCCATCTAAATGGGGTGTAGTGCTTGAGGGTTTGGGGTTGGACGTCGGTTTATGGCTTTAAAGTTAAGTTTTGAACCCCCTCCCTTGCAGACGCAAAATTGTAATCTTGAGACCATGGGGTTCTAGTATGAGCCCTTAGCCCTTGATCTTTATATACCTACTTTATACTTTATATGTAGCTTCACGTGCCGCTAGAATCCCCCGAAAACGCTTCAAATCCTATTTTGCAGGCCCATGTACCTAACTTGAGAAAAGAGCTGCGCTGTCTGGCCCATAATTATGTTNNTTTTTTTTTTTTTTTTTTCGAAGTTAGGCTGCCTTTTCAGGGTGATGTATTGCTCGGGCTCGCTGCTCTAGCACATGTCGTGGAAATGCTTATGGACAGGATCAGGTGGGCCCTGTTCAACAAGACGGCGGTGGTAAGTCTTCCGAGGACCCTTCCAGTGTTTTAAAGAAGTGAAAACATCAAACTTGGCGGCTGAAAGGATCCCACTCTGGCGCCTACCATTGCTGATTCGTGCGCTGCGCAAGCAGCTAGCAAGGATCCGACGGTGCCGCAGCAAGCATACTCCTAACATGTGGTAGCGCGCAGGAGCTTGCGGACCCCACGTGCGGAGATGATGGATGCGCTGAGGCCCTTCCTGTGTGCGCGTAATATGAGAGATTGTCTACTCCCCATGACCTCCCGGCAGGTGAAGACGCCCTCAAAGCATGAGCGCGAAGAGGTGGCTAGTGGCTAGCCTCAGGAACCGGCAGTATTGGTGTCATCCATGCTGGTAGGTGCTTGGTCCGGTGTTTGGTGAAGATGCCGAATGCGGTGATGGGGAGGCGCGTCTCAGCAGGATCTGGAAGTTGTGGCAAACATGACCTTGTGGCAGGTACAGACCCCTGCGAAGCGTGCAAATGAGGACTTGGAGAGCCCAGTGAAAACAGCCTGCCCCAAAAAGCGGCGGGTGCGTGAGAAGCGCATGGAGATTCCGCCCGGCCCATCTGAGCTCAGTGAGTGGCAGATAGGTGAGATCAGGCGTTTGGTTGCTGAGGCGAAAGCAACTGCTGAGCGCGAGGAAACCCCGTGCTCAGGCAATGTCAATGGGATCAGTTATGATAAAACACCCAGCCCCACTTGCTCTATCTGTAACGTTTCCAAGCACCATGTGAAGTGGGGCGAAATGAGGACTTCGCTACGGACCGGCCGGTCAGTTCCCCGTGGCACCCAGTGCTACAGCTGCACGCACTCAGCAACGCTGTTGGGAGCGAAGTGCAGGTCACGAACGATTTTTGAACAGGTAGATGGGGCACTTGATGTTTGGAGGGTGCGAAGCGCTCTAGAGCGGAAGCGCCTTCGCCGAACTGATGAGGATAACTGCACTTGTGGAAGTTGCGTAGGCTGAAGCAGCATTAGTCTTAGTTTTGGGGGCTTTGGGGAAGACAAGCAGGAACATGTCCTGGCAATACCTATGTATTGTCAGGGGGGGAACCTGTCATGTGAAAAGCTCATGACGGGCTGCGCGTCCTGGCAGAAAGCTAAGCAGACCGCAACAGCATGACCCTGAAAATTTTGCGCCATTGCTGGGCATGCACCTACATGAATGTTGCACACGCGGCCTTGCTGGCCATGCAAGATGTGATTGATGGCTCCAGGATCTTAGCCATTTCATTCTGGCGCCTTAAATGCCAAGATGCTTGTAAAACTTGAAATCAAGAGCGAAAACCGTATAATCTGAAGTATTTATATGGAAACAATCTTGAAATCCCAGGTGTGCATATTGGAGAAATCCCCTTAATCCCATGTATTTATATGGAAAGAACCATCAAAAGCTTCATAATCTGAACGGCCTATGGGGAAGCATCCCTTCAAGTACCGCAAAAATCGTATAATCTGAAGTATTTATATGGAAACAATCTTGAAATCCCAGGTGCGCACATTGGAGGAATCCGCTTAATCCTACGTATTTATATGGAAAGAATCACCAAAACCCCAGCCATCTACATTAAAAGAGGCTTCATAATCTGAACGGCCTATGGGGAGGCATCCCTTTAAGTACCGCAAAAACCGTATAATCTGAAGTATTTATATGGAAACAATCTTGAAATCCCAGGTGTGCATATTGGAGAAATCCCCTTAATCCCATGTATTTATATGGAAAGAACCATCAAAAGCTTCATAATCTAAACGTCCTATGGGGAAGCATCCCTTTAAGTACCGCAAAAACCGTATAATCTGAAGTATTTATATGGACACAATCTTGAAATCCCAGGTGTGCACATTGGAGGAAGCCTTATAATCCCATGTATGTATAGGATTCATGATCGGATGTTTTTTCAAGCCATGATTTCAGGTTCGACGGGGGGTGACCAAAACGATAAGAAAACGATAAGCAAACGATAAGAAATACTTGAAAAAGCCTTTGGGTGTGACCCAAGCCACATTTGGCGCGAAATCCTTAGGATTTTGCTCCCATTTCCATATGGACGCTCGCAAGGCGTCTGCCTTGCAGCGTGCTGCTGTCCAAGATGTCCGGTGGGGGAGCGAAGTCTGTGCTAAAGCCCGTGCTGCTAGACCTGGCGAGGCAAAATTTGCTGTATTGACAGCTGACCAGATGAGATTCGTATTCAACATTATCAAGGGCAAGTTTTGGCGCAGCCTCTCCAAAGAAGAGAAGCAGAGCGTTGCGGCCAGCGACACCGTACCTAACTTTGCGAAGCTGCTACAGGAGAGGGGTGGAAGGGCAACCCATGGTTGTGTTGACCCTTTACATTCGTTTCAAGGGCCCCCTGCTTTCAAGTTCAAAAGCCAAACCGTTGCCCCACAGTAGTCGTGCTTGGGTAGCGCCAGAGGCACTTGACAGTGTGCCAGACGTCGGTTCGGCTGCGAGCACAAGTGCTGCTGCCGCAAGCTCGGCAGGAACTCCTAAGCGACGCGCAGAGGAGGGTCAGAGCCCGGCAACAATGCCACAGCGCAAGAAGCCAAGGCCCATATCTACAAGCGTAGGGCTCAGGGGGACGCAAATAGAAACATGGTATGCTTGGGCAGGACAGCTGATGCACCAGCTGCTGCGGAGCCCGCGACGGTGGAGCCGGCAGGACAAAAACAGAGCTTCGGCTGCATGCCTCGCGCGCCTGGTCCCAGAGTATGCCCCTAACCCTACCAAGGTCAGTGCCATCAGATGTGGCCGCTCAGAGCTCCAGCAAACGGTTGCCGAAAGTGAAGCAGAGACCTGGGTTCGGACGCAAGGACAGGGCAGCGTCCCATGTCGCGCCTTGGCTTTGACAGCTACGCAGCTTGTGCCACGTGCGCACGCTTATAGGGAGGTCCCTAGCCCCAGCCAACTGCAATCCTGCAGCAGGTGAAGCAAATGCTGCACTGGTGCAAGAATGGTGGTGAAGCAGCCGCTCTCGTGCGCAATATCGTCGCACGCCTAGATGCGACTTGGCCTGGATTGAAAGCGGACGTTTTGAAGGACGAGCCAGGCGAAGGCTTGCTGGTAAGATGCCTTGGGCAAGTCAGAGAGCAGGCCTGCCAAGAGGGCAAGCAGAGTGTGTCATTGCGCGACTTGGACAGGGCAGTGTCTATCGAAGGCACTCGTGCAAGACAGTACTTGGCAAAGAACGGGTACTCTGTGGGAAAGCTAGCTTGGCGGACATTGCGGGGAAAGCGTAGAAGAGAAGAGGACGAGGCAGCCCAAGCTCGCCGGTCAGGCGGGTGTTGAAAACTCTTAAGAAACATTGCCGCTACACTTGAATTCCTGTGCCCTAAGGCCGCCCGTCCAAAATGACGCCAGACATCCTAGCCATGACCAAGGAGGCGCTGGATGAGAACGCAAAGCCAGCCTCCATGCCAGCGCACGTGACCCGTCACGAGGACGGTTATTGTGGACCTCCTCAATCCCGAGGTGACCGTGAAAAGGTGCAGCTAGTGCCAGGGCAGTCATTGCTAGCCAAACCGGCGCAGATATACAGGGAGCACCCAGAGCTCAAGGCAGCGATCAGCTTGACGACGTTCCGGAAAGTCATGAAGGAGAAATTTTCGGAGTACCGCCAAGGACAACGCGCCACAGACGTATGCAGTCACTGTGTGACTTTTGCAGACCAGCTTGTCCCCAACTTCCATCGCGACTGGGTTAAGATCCAGTCCGAGCTGGAATCAGCATACCCTGGTTACTTCCGCAAGTTCCCACAAAAGCGGAAGTACGCGGATGCCGCAGAGGAGGCGGAGGTTGCTTTGCGTTATGTGGCCACACATCAGGAGAAGTTCAGGGAGGAGCGTGCCCGCAGCGGACAGGACCTCCTGCAGCTCTCCTCNNCTGCTGAGGCAAAGTTGCGGGGCCATCGCGCCTTGCTCCGCTCATACCTGTGGCATAAGCTGTCGGCCCGACGGCAGCACGCAGCGCTTGACAGTCTCATGACAGCCAAAGGGCTTCCAGCTAAGGACTCTCTGATAATCGCAGATTATCGGGAGAAGCTGAGACTTCCCTTCGGACCGGTAGAAACTGGCGCAATGTGGCACTGCCAACAGAAATGGGCGATAACATGTTTGGGCCTTGTCCTTCTTAGACACTCTCCGAAGTCTACAGCTTCGAACCCCTGCCTCGAGCGAGTCTATGCTATGTACCTCACTGAGGTGCGGGAACAAGTGGCAGAGACCTCAAACAAGCTGCTGGCCGAATTTCTAAAGGAGTGCAAGGTCAGCAAAGAAGGAGAGCTGCACATCTTCACAGACTGTGGTCCGCATTTCAGGGCCAGCGAGTGTCTCTATCACCACATGTATGAAGTGGCTGCAGCAAGGCGACAACGAGTCACTGTATCATTTCTAGCCGAGCAACATGGGAAAAGCATCATTGATAGCCTTTTCGGGGTTACAGGCCTGAAAGGCGGCTGGCTTGGGGATTGGGCTCGGACAAAGCCTGTCTACACCGTGTCTGACTTGGAGCGAGCTCTGAAGTGGGGAGCCGAGAGGGCCATGAAAGCAGACCCAGCAGGCCCTAAGTGGATATGTCGGGTCGTGAACCTTGGCACTCATCGCGACAAGATTGCCCACTTCGTGAAATCTGCTGAACTGAGGCTCACGAAAACGTATTGCATCACCATCAAGCCGCCAGCGAGAGGTCGGGAAAACCCGGTGCTGTATAACAGGGTGTTCACTGACAATGCCCGACTTGGCGACTCATGCAATTACACGGCGTTTCAGGAAGACCGGGGCGACGTAGAGTGGAAGATGTCGTATTTTGAAGGAGAACGAAGCTGGGATGCCCCAGCGCCGCAGCCAGGGGAGGAGACAGCCCTCTGTAGAAAATACAATCAGCAAAATGCCATCTTGCCACCTAGATCCATGAAGGCCTTGCGCACATTTGAAGAGAGGGTTGCAGCGAAGCTGCGTCGTGCCCAGAAGAGCCGTGCGCGCGAGGCGCGCAAAGCCGCTGCCCAAGGCAGCAGCAGCTCTTCTTCCTCCTCGAGCAGCAGCAGCAGTGCTTGAACACCAAAGCGTCACATCCTGTAACGGCTTACATAGCCCCACTATCGGTTTCCGAAAATTAGGGTCCCACCATATACCCCCCAATTGAATATAATCTCCTTTTTAGCCATACCCCACAGAAAAAGGGAACCTAATTTCCGGAAACTCCAACTGAGTTGCATGCTCAGGCTGAGGGTTTTGCATGTAGAGCTGCGGCAAGCCACGAACATTCAGCTTAAGCTCCACAGTGCCTGTAGAGTTCCCGAGTATTCTCCTTTGCCTCATTCTCATCCATGCGACCAATCTTCCAAAACCTTGTAAAACGATAAGAGTAAAAAAAAACGATAACAGGATTAAGGGTCATTTAAATGGGTGGGGGGTT